ACGCAAATTTTCAACGCTTTCTTTGATAAAAACTAAACTAAGAAATAAACTTAAGATTGACAGTATCAATGGCATAATGTTATGCAAGGAACCTGTAAACAAAAATGACCCGCACTATGTGTGGTCAGCTGTTAAAAAATGGCATGTGTAATTAATTGATTTAAATTTACTTTTAAGAAATTAAACTTATTGGTACATAACATTTACATATGTCTATAATTCATTTATTTATTTCTTATATCATTCTTTTCTAAGTCGTACGGATTTCGTACCGATTCGCTTAAAATTTTTTTTTGTGGGCTCTATACATGAAATAAGCTACCACGTGTTCGAGAAAGTTTTTTCTTCGGAGATATGATCTGTAAAAGTTTGCATTTTTTCGTGATTCTGACTAATCATGTACTTCTTCAAATCGTTATATCTCGGGTTCTGCTGATCGTAGAGATCTCATCTTAACGTCATTTTAAAGCTAAGAAACGGGCTTGCCATTTCTATATACAAGATGGTCAAGATTGTCCTAAAGCTAACTTAGCTATTAACAGTTGAACTTTATGAAGTTGATTTGCATAGTGAAGACCAGTAAATTAGGGATTTAAAATTATACCATCGTAGTCCTTGTTTAATTCTCTATAAAAAACGTGGTTCAAAAAAATTTTTATTTATATTTTTAAAATATTTTTCTTTATGACGAGATGGTTTATTTTTTGAGAATCAACAATTTTTTGTAATTTTTTTCGAAAACTTATGTTAAGATATATTCGGTAAGGTGTTAAACATCGGGTTTTTGCAAAAAGTAAAATTTTATTGCGCATTCCGATAGAATACTTATCCAGATATAATATTTGTCTGGCAAGATTTTTCTTTAAGGCGACAAACCACAGAAATGGGCGTGGCAATTGCAGGACTAAAATTAGCAAAACGCAGATTTTATTGCGGATTTCGGCAGAATATCGCTTCGTTAACAATATTTGTTCCCCAACTTTTTCAATGCATATAGATATTCTGGCGAAATCCACAATAAAGCTTAAATTTTTGAACTTTGGTTTTAATATAGCCACGCCCATTTCTAGAATATTCTTTGATTGAAAAACTTGTGGAGCAAATGTTATTAACGAAGCGATATTCTGCCGAAATCCGCAATAAAATCTGCGTTTTGCAAACTTTAGTCAAACAAGTGCCTCGCGCATTTTTAGGGGTTTGTCGCCTTAAAGAAAAATCCAGCCGTACAAATATTATACCTGGATAGGTATTCTATCCGATTTTTAAAAATTTAGTATCGTTGTAAGGCGATTAAACCCATTTTCTTCTGGTATGCATATTTGTATACTTCGTTTATAAAAACTTGAGAAAAAACTCTTAAAATTAAAAAAATACCTTTGTTTTTTAAAAAATATTTTAAACAAAAAAATTACAAACGGATCTTTAGGAAACTGCTATCGTTGTAAAGGATACCAGAAAACTTATACTTTCTTAAAACCAAAAAATTCTATTTATATACACAAAAAAAAAATTAGTTAAAAACATTTTTTCCCTCTATATAAACTCCGGCCCCCTAGGTGAAAGGCTGGCTACGCCCTTGTAAGCAAAACAATTAAAGTATTTAAATCGTAGATCATACGGTCAAGTTTGTTCTTTTAGAGCGTAACATGGCTCCATAATAATGATTCCAGTATCTTCATTTATGTATGTATATTTAACTATCAATATCCAACATCATCTGCGAAAAAAATTCTCAAAAATCAACGGGAACTTATAGCCATTTAAAACTTGCACTTTGTGGTACTGAAATTGAGTGAGTTACAAAACTGCACACTCAAAATTTGGTGCCATTTGATGCAAAATGAACTATATTTCTATAAAAAATTAGCACAAAAATTTATTATGAAAAAGATAAAAACACTGTATTCTGGGTGTATATATTTACCGATATGTAAAAGTTTCAATATGTTTGGAAAGCACAACGCACCCTTTTCCAGTAGCACCAAAATCCATATACTAATTTCCAGGACACTACCACAAATACTTCAAGAGATATACGGTATGAAAAATTAGATATGTATGGGTGATGCCACTTAATATATCGAAAGTCTACAGTAGGTGTCCAAAATTTCAAAAAATCGGTACAGCCGTTCGCGAGATCACCTCTTATAAAAAGGAGCTTCTCTTTATATAATTAGTGTAGGTAACACAGGGCGACTCCGATTTTGATGTGGCAAATGTTAAAGCTGATTTTGATAGGCTTTTTTGTGCTGATTAAGAATCCGTAAGTATAAAGTTTCCATCAGCTCCAGAATTTGAGAAAAATGTGGTGAAAGTGTCAATAAATCGCGTTATTTGCAATATTTGGGAAGCTCTAGCAATGAAACAAAAGGTGATAGAACCTTCCACTTAGGCTTAAATTAAAGTACTATTCCTGCACCTTGCTCACCTATACTCATTTACTTTTTAACGTCCAACAATAAAAAAAATACTGGAAAATTATGCAATTGAAAACAAAAATGGTGTAAAAATCAGTGTTAGCTATTCAATAAATGACTATAGGGGACCTTAGGGTCAAGGTGCAGGAATTGTATTTTGAGGGATTGAAGTCAGAAGTCCAAGCCTTAATTTAAGCCTAAGTGGAAGGTTCTATCACCTTTTGCTTAATTGCGGTAGGTACTCCCAAAATCAGTTATTCCCGTTCAACAAATGACTATAAGTGACCATCAAGCAAAGGTGCAGGAATTTGCAGGATATGATCGAGATTTTTAGCTTTAATCAAAGCCTAAGTGGAAGGTTCTACCACCCATTGTTTCTTTGCTAGAGCTTCTCAAATATTGAAAAAAACGCGATTTTCTGACACTTTGACCTCGTTTTTTTTTAAATCTGGAGCTGATNGTATGGGTGATGCCACTTAATATATCGAAAGTCTACAGTAGGTGTCCAAAATTTCAAAAAATCGGTACAGCCGTTCGCGAGATCACCTCTTATAAAAAGGAGCTTCTCTTTATATAATTAGTGTAGGTAACACAGGGCGACTCCGATTTTGATGTGGCAAATGTTAAAGCTGATTTTGATAGGCTTTTTTGTGCTGATTAAGAATCCGTAAGTATAAAGTTTCCATCAGCTCCAGAATTTGAGAAAAATGTGGTGAAAGTGTCAATAAATCGCGTTATTTGCAATATTTGGGAAGCTCTAGCAATGAAACAAAAGGTGATAGAACCTTCCACTTAGGCTTAAATTAAAGTACTATTCCTGCACCTTGCTCACCTATACTCATTTACTTTTTAACGTCCAACAATAAAAAAAATACTGGAAAATTATGCAATTGAAAACAAAAATGGTGTAAAAATCAGTGTTAGCTATTCAATAAATGACTATAGGGGACCTTAGGGTCAAGGTGCAGGAATTGTATTTTGAGGGATTGAAGTCAGAAGTCCAAGCCTTAATTTAAGCCTAAGTGGAAGGTTCTATCACCTTTTGCTTAATTGCGGTAGGTACTCCCAAAATCAGTTATTCCCGTTCAACAAATGACTATAAGTGACCATCAAGCAAAGGTGCAGGAATTTGCAGGATATGATCGAGATTTTTAGCTTTAATCAAAGCCTAAGTGGAAGGTTCTACCACCCATTGTTTCTTTGCTAGAGCTTCTCAAATATTGAAAAAAACGCGATTTTCTGACACTTTGACCTCGTTTTTTTTTAAATCTGGAGCTGATTGGAAACTTTATGCTTACGGATTCGTAATCAGCACACAAAAATTCGGCAAAAATAACGTTAACATTTGCTGCATCAAATGTTTTCCCATTTTTGTTGGCCTGTGTAATAAGTATTGTTAAATAGCCAATACACCTTTCGAACTGTAAAGCATCGACACGATCCTATTCTACGCATATTTGTAATACGGGTATCGAATTTCAAGAAAATCAGACCATAAATAAGACTTTCGAAGAGATCGGTCCCTTGCCCACTTAACGAAAAAAATGGATCCTATATGCTAATCTAGGCGAAAGGCTACCAACGAACCAAATGCATTTTTTTTATCGTAGCTGGACTCCTGCGCCACCAATCGGAAAAATTAAAACTTTGTGCACTCCTAAACACCTTTCCAAAAAAGCAGCACCCAATCGAATCGGTTATGAAATATAGGAGAAAATTGTTCCCAATTGATTCATGCCCCCAATAAATTTCACAATTATCCGAAATTTTCCAAGCTTACGTCGAAGAAAAAGCCAAATTTTTCGCGTTCTCCCGGATTTTTTCCGAGTTTTCCACTTAGAATTTTCTATTTTTCCATTCGAATGCCATTCCGAAGGAATTGCACACAAAATTCCATACAACAAAATCAATTTTCGATTTTTCCAATTTCCCGACTTTCCCGGAGGGGTTTCCCAAAATTTTCTTTCGTAAAAACCTTCTCCTGGCAATTACGAATAACTAAAAAAAAAGTTTGCCAAATCGGCCCAACCGTTCTCAATTGATGAATTACTATACATTTTTCACACCATTTTTATGTATATAGATTGGCGGAAAAATATTAGAATAAAAATTGTTGCATATATTATGAACAATTTGCTATGCCAATACTTTGTTGCTTCAGTGTATAGATTAAGTAAGCTTTATATTTTTATCTAGCAGGCAACACGTTCATTTCGTAACCTGAATATTTGCGAATTTAAAAAATTTCCCAACTTCAAGCAAAGTTTTTTTATGAGGAGTGAGCTGGTCGGGCCAACTCGCAGCTGTGTTTCGTCTATGATATTTACGCACACTCAATTCCTGAGTACATAAGCTGCTTACTCAACATAGTCAAAATCCAGATTTTTAAAACTTGATTCGAGCGGGCGGAAACGAGCGTTCCTAAGGATTTAATTTTGCTTAAATTCTGTTCTTTGGGACCCTAAATAAGAGTCCCTCAAAATCATAATCTAAAATGGGTCCGCGACTTCAGGTAGACGATTTCATATGTAAAGATGCTTGGTCCAATACAATTTTTTTACCATTATATATATTTCGTTTCAGAAATTACCAGTTTACGCTACGGTTCTAGCTATGGTGTTCACCAATGTGGATTTATAGTACTTCAGTTGTCAATTCGAATAGCAATTGATTGCAATAACAACCACCCACATACATACACATGTTCTCTTGTAATAATGCCTTCAGCGAATACCGAAGAGTTGCGGCGAAAGTTTACTGTTGTTCAGCAACAGCGCTCAGTTCCGTCGAAATTCGCGTTAATGACCACCACCTCTGCTGTGTACGATCATTTAGACACAAACATCACCACATCAATGATGGTTCAGGCAACACCAATGATTCCTCTACAGGAACCCGAACATACCTACATATTTCCTGGAGCAATAAACCTTGCCGGTGGGCTTGGAGCAAGCGCTATCCATAGTATGGCACCGGGCATTCCTGGCGTTGCTGTTGTGTCTGCGCCATCACACAGCCTCAGCGTGGGAACGGATAGTCGCGGCCATATAAGGTCTGTGAGTCACGGAGGCGGTGCCATTATAGGGCCGAGAGGCCGTCCAATGAAATCAGCTATGAAAGGACATCAACGTGCTTTTTCACATGGCCAAATTACAGATTCACCAGGCGCTCCTGGAGCCTCACGAGGCCATAGTCGCGTTGGTTCAAAAACTGATTTTATCCTACCACCTGGTCACAAAGAGGAAGTAGAAAGTCGGGAGTTTGGGCCATCTGTTGCATCTTCAGGGGGTGGGCGTGGTCATTCGAGGCAGGCATCGCGTTCAGAATCTATATACACTTTGCGTCGCTCTGAAACACCACCTTGGTGGAAGCGGATAGCTGTATGTCATACTGAGAAACTCGAAGAGCGAAGCTATCGTGTCCTCGTACCAAATCACACAGTTCCACCAAAGACTCCCAAGCGGGCTCATCCGAATGAAGATTTTGTGGGCAATAAAATACGCACGACAAAGTACACACTGCTGTCCTTCGTACCAAAAAATTTACTTGAACAATTCCATCGTGTTGCGAATTTGTATTTTATTTTTATCGTTCTGCTGAATTGGTTTCCAGCGATAAATGCGTTTGGCAAAGAAGTTGCCATGATACCTGTTCTCTTTGTGCTCGGTGTGACCGCAGTTAAGGACTTATTTGAAGACAGACGACGTCGTTACTCCGACAAGCGAATCAACAACACGACATGTCGTATTTATGACGGGTAAGTTATCAATTCATACTTTTCTGTACACATCTGAACGGTGTCGGTTTTTTCGGCACTAATAAGACTGTAACGAAAAAAGTGGTCGCAGGTTGCAATTGTTTTTGCCTTAAATGTAACGGAATAAAATCAAACAAGTGTATGCAGCGCTAGAACAGTCTTCATTTTACATGATTGAGCCATTGGTAGAAACAAGAAGGTAATTTCACTAATTTTGTCAGCCATATTAACTATCTGACATAAATGCCTTTTTCGACTTCTGCTTTATAATTGTGCTACCAGTTTCATTCCTTTAAACCACAGTCAGATTCAACGCTGCACTGAAAAACGGGCAGTTCCAAATGCAAAAAAGTAAAATGTTTTTAATATGCATGTATGTACATTACACCAGACATGGGCACATTTGCCCGTACGGCAAGCGAGCCCATTTCGCGGGCTAGACCAGGGGGAAATCACGGGCAACATGAAGAGGGCCAGTGTTGCCAGAACTTTTTGAGCCAACCGGCTATATTGGCAAAAAAGCGGCTAAAGAGGGCTAAAATGTTTCAACTAAAATTCACATGTTTATTTAAAAAAATCGCAAGTAGAAAGACTTGTAAACTCATTAATTTTTTTTGGTTAAAGATTATACGTGGCTAAGCTTTACACCACTCGTTAAATAAATCACAAAAACAGACTGGTAAATTTATTACAAATTATTTTTGTTTAACAAAAGAAACTGTCGTTATACGTACATTAGAAGTCATGTTTGTATACTTGAATATAAAAAAAAATTTATCAATTACATACTTATGGCGTTTTCTTTTTTTTGAAAAATGTTGCCTTACATTGTAACATTTGTACTAGGTTACTTTTCGTCCTGAATGGCTATACTAGCATAAAGTATTTTGCTTAGGCTGAGGGCGATATTTTGAGAAATGAACACATGAAGCTGTGTGTGAAACGGCTGAAGAAAACAGGCCAAGATTATTTCGAGAAAAGAAAATGCCATTAATTTCTGTGTTCGTATGGAAAAGTAGCTTATGTCGAAAGGCTGGCTTTAGTATAAATCGGCATTCACAGCATACGATTGCGAGTTACTCCGTGGCGTTGAACCGTTGAACAACCGTTGGCATATAAACGTGCAAGAAATAGTTCCGATACTAGCAAGAAAATATTCTTATTAAATCTTATCAAAAAATTCCTTGTCGTTTAAAGAATAAAGGGAAAGCCGCATTTTACTAAAGCCAGCCTTTCGACATAAGCTATTTTTCCATACGAACACTGGTTTATATCGAACAAGCCGGTCGTTTTTTAAGTTTTTAACAATTCAAGTATTTAATTGTATTTTGATGTCCATATACTCGAAACTCCTGTTTTTAATGTCGTACCCACTCTCTCACATGCCTGTCTGAGAGCAATAATAAGCAACAATAAAGTATGTTGGCACCATAATACAATTTATTCACAGGTCTTGTCAAAACTTAAATTTAAGCCATTCATAATAAAAATTGTAAAAAGAAAGTCCCGCTACGTCCTTTGAATTTCTTAGTTTATTTAATGTTTATTACTTTTTTATGAAAATATTGCTGATTAATCAACAAACACCATATAAGTCGCAATTTCCGACTTTGCCCAAAAATTATGAAAATTCTGCAAAATTTTCACCAAAATTTTTAACTTTTTAATCAGCATCTTTACAAAATGGTATGTACATATCTATGCCGTTTTGTTGTCTATTAAAATATGGGGAAAATTTTAAGTAGCTAGGACATATGAGTAGTCCACTTGCAAAGTGCGCTATATAAATTTTTTCGATTTTTAGTTTTTGGTGGTTAACGTACCAGTATTTAAAGTAGTTTCATGT